AAAAGTGGATATATGTGGAAACCAGCTTTTATCCAGGCATCTGTGACCAAGTTTGATTCTTACCTGGTCCACTTCTAAGTTATAATAGCGATAATTGCTTACCATTTTTGAACTCTTCTTATATACTAGTCACCGTGCTATGCACTTTACATTTATTATTCATTCAATCTTTCCAAAAACCTTATGTTGTGGACACTATTATCCCCATTTTACAAAGAGGGCGGCCAGGCGTGATGGCTCTCGCCTGTAATCCCAGCACTTTGGGAGGCCGAGGCGGGCAGATCACGAGGTCAGGAGTTTGAGACCAGCCTGGTCAACATGGTGAAACCCGGTCTCTACTAAAAATACAAAAAATTAGCCAGGCGTGGTGGCATGCACCTGTAGTCCCAGCTACTCAGGAGGCTGAGGCAAGAGAATTGCTTAAACCTGGGAGGCAGAGGTTGCAGTGAGCCAAGATCCCACCATTGCACTCCAGCCTGGCAACAAAGCAAGACTCCGTCTTGAGAGAAAAAGCAGAAGGCTAAAAACAAACAACAACAACAACAACAACAACAACAAAAAAACAAAGAGGGCAACTATTGCTTGCTAATGAAAAAGTGGAGGTAGGACTTGAACCCAACTCTCTAATTTCAGAGTCCTTTTAACTACTCTACTATTTCACTTCCCACCTCTTTCTAAGCCAGGGGTAAGTTTCAACTAGTCTTTGGAGTCTGTGCCCAGCTTTTAATACTACCTGGATCTTTTCTTAGATTCTTTCCATTCTCAAATTTCTGTCAAGTCTCTGGATGAATTTACAGAAAACTAGCAGTCCGGAAACCAACCCTTGGAGAAACTCTCATATTTCCACATTAGTTGAAATATGGAAGCAGCATGCCTTACAAACTCTGCTGTGATATTACAGCCAACCAGGCATTCTTCCTACTTTGTTTCTTCTCACTCAGCAATTTTTTTTTTTTTTTTTTGGTGGGGGAGGAAGGCAGGAAGGAAGGGAATAAGGACGGTAGGGAGGAAGGAAGGGATGAAGGAAGGAAGGAAGGGAGGAAGCGGGGAGGGAGGGAGGGAAGAGAAGAAAGGAAATCAAGCAATGAAAGAGACATTGCCGACCTGGATCTAGAGGTTTACAAGTTGATTTCTTTTTTTTTTGAGAGAAGGAAAGAAAAAAATATATAAGTAAAGGAGAGGAAGAAAGAGGAAGAGAAAGAGGGAGAGTAAATGGAAATATTGCTTTATTTTGAAAAAAATTGGGTATTAATAATGGCCAATCAATGTTTCATTTAAACTAATGGGTAGGTGTGATGTGGTATTGACAAGAATGTATATTTTGTGTATTTGAAGTGGAGAGCTCTATAAATATTTATTAAGTTTACTTGTTCTGGATCTGAGTTCGAGTCCTTGATATCCTTATTAATTTTCTGTCTCATTGAATCTAAGTCTCTTATCTGGGTGTTAGGATCATTAGCTCTTGTTGTTGCATTGATCCTTTTACCACTATATCTTTGTTGCTTTAAAATCTATTTATTCCGATACAAGAATTGCAACTCCTGCTTTTTATTTATTTATTATTTATTTTTGCTCTCCATTTGGTTGGTAAATCTTTCTCCATCCCTTTGTTTTGAGTCTTTGTGTATCCTTGCATGTGAAACAGGTCTGGATGTAACATGCCGTTGGGTTTTGGCTGTGTCTTTTGATTGGGAATTCAGTCAATTTAAATTTAGGGTTACTGCCATTTGATGTTGACTGGCTGTTTTATCCACTTGTTGGTGTAAATTCTTCTTTATGTTGGTGCTCTTTACTTTTTGGTGTATTTTTAGAAAGGCTAATACTGGTTGTTTCTTTCTGTGTGTAATGCTTCTTTCAGAAGCTCTTGTAAAGCAGGCCTGGTGGTAATAAAATGTCTGAGTTCTTGCTTGTTCATAAAAGATTTTATTTTTCCTTCAGTTGTGAAGCTTAATTTGGCTGGATATGAAATTCTGGGCTGAAGGTTCTGTTCTTTGAGGATGTTGAATATTGGCCCCCACTCTCTTCTGGCCTGTAGAGTTTCTGCCGAGAGATCTGCTGTAAGTCTGATAGGCTTGCCTTTGTGGGTAACATGACCTTTCTCTCTGGCTGCCCTTAGTATCCTCTCCTTGGTTTCAACCCTGGTGAATCTAACGATGATGTGCCTTGGGGTTGCTCTTCTTGAGGAATATCTTTGTGGTGTTCTCTGTATTACCTGGGGTTGAATGTTGACCTGCTTTGCTAGTTTAGGAAAATTTTCCTGAATAATATCCTGAAGGGTATTTTCCAGCTTGGATTCATTCTCTCCGTCACATTCAGGTACACCTATCAAACGTAAATTTGGTCTTTTCACATAGTCTCACATTTCTTGGAGACTTTGCTCATTCCTTTTTATCCTTTTTTCTCTAATCTTTTCTTCACGTTTTATTTCATTAAGTTGGACTTTGACCTCTGATATCCCTTCTTCTGCTTGAACAATTCGAGTGTTTAAACCTGTGCATACTTCTCGGAGTTCCTGTATTGTATTCTTCAGTTCCATTAATTCACTCATACTCCTCTCTAAGTTGTCTATTCTCAATAGGATTTCATCAAACCTTTTTTCAAAGTTCCTAGTTTGTTTACGTTGGGCTACAACATGGTCTTTTAACTCACCGAAGTTTGTTATTATCCATTCCTTGAAGAGTGATTCTGTCATCAGGAGGCGCTCGTTCTCCATCAAGCCTTGTTCCATTGTTGATGTGGAACTGTGATCATCTTTAGAGGGAGAGGCGTTCTGACTTTGAGTATTCTCAGCTTTTTTACGCTGGTTTCTTCCCGTCATTGTAAATTTATCCTCCTGTCGTCTTTGAAATTAGCAACTTTCAGATTAGGTCTCTTGAGTGGACGTCCAGGTTGTTAGTTCCCAGGGCCAGAGCAGCAGCTTTACAACTGATGGTGCTTTTCTGCCCAGGATTCTCCTGTCGGGCTTCCTTCTTGTTTCCGTAGTAGGTGACTCTGCCTTCCCGGGGCTCGGTCAGAAGGGGAACTGGTCCCGTTCACTCTGCGCCGAGCGCTGCCGCGTAGAGGTGCCGGCGGAACCACTGCGCCGACCACGAGAGTCGCGCTGGCGACTCGTGTGTTTCCACCACTGGGGGATCTTCTGCTCCATGAGCGATCAGACTTTGTCTGAAAGTGTGGCGTCCTCTAGTTCTCCGTGCCTTCCCTGAGAGCTGCAATCCCGGGATCTTAGCGATCGGCCATCTTGGATCGTTCCCCCAGCCTCACTCAGCAATTATTTACTGAATTTGCTTACTCTCTGTTTACTAGGTACTGTTAGGTTCTGTGAACACAGGGAAGAAGAGGACATAGACTCTGTATTCATGGAAATTTGAGGGTCTCTTCTAACACAGTCACTGCTGTGCCTTGCACTCTGCTTGTAGTCAGTCTCTTCCCATTCCTTTGCTCTTCCAAAATAGAACTTACTTGGGACTTGTGTTTCGTTTTATTTTAAGATGAGGTTTCAACGTATTGGTCAGGCTGGTCTTGAACTCCTGACCTCAGGTGATCCACCTGCCTTGGCCTCCAAAGTGCTTGGATTACAGGCGTGAGCCACCATGCCCAGCGGAACTTGTGTATTGTTAGTGCCTTTAAGGCATTTATCTTCTCCTACTTTATGATCATCATCAGTCATAGTCATTCATTTGTGGTTTTTATTTAAAAATAATTTATGTATATAAATATAACCTGTTGGTTGAGGAAAAACTTGAAGTATCACTGAAGTGTGTAAACTAAAAAGAAGTTGGTGACTTGTGTGTGTGTGTGAGCATGTAGACAGGTAATGGCAGAGGTGAAACCAGCACCAAGTTTACTTACTCCCAATTGGGGCTTTTTCCATTATACCATGCTATTTTCTTTTTTTTTTTTTTTTTTGAGACTGAGTTTTAGCTCTTGTTACCCAGGCTGGAGTGCAATGGCGAGATCTTGGCTCACCGCAACCTCCGCCTCCTGGGCTCAGGCAATTCTCCTGCCTCAGCCTCCTGAGTAGCTGGGATTACAGGCATGTGCCACCATGCCCAGCTAATTTTTTGTATTTTTAGTAGAGATGGGGTTTCACCATGTTGACCAGGATGGTCTTGATCTCTTGACCTCGAGATCCACCCGCCTTGGCCTCCCAAAGTGCTGGGATTACAGGCGTGAGCCACTGCGCCCAGCCTATACCATGCTGTTTTCGAGACTTCCTACTGTCCCTCTTCCACCATGGCTTTTTACCATTAGGTCTTGCTATAACCAGATACTTCATGGTAAATTTAGAAATTTATCAGTCTGACATCTTAATCAAGATTAAAGAGTCTAATGCCAAATCTTATGCAAAGAAATGAGAATGATATAATGGACCCTGGGGACCTAGGGGGAAAGGTTGGGAGGGGGATGAGGGATAAAAAACTACATATGGAGTACAGTGTAGAGTGCTCAGGTGACAGGTGTACCAAAATCCCAGAAATCACCACTAAACTTATCCACATAACAAAACACCACCTATACCCCCAAAACTCTTGAGATACATTTTTTTTTAAAAAAAGATTAAGAGTCTACAGGGTTGTACAGATCCCAGGGGACTTCATAGGTTGTTTCTTTTTTTCTTTTTGAGATGCAGTCTCCCTCTGTCACCCAGGCTGGAGTGGTATGATCTTGGCTGACTGCAATCTCTGCCTTCCAGGTTCAAGAGTTTCTCCTGCCTCAGTTTCCTGAGTAGCTGGGACTACAGGCATGTGCCACCATGCCTGGCTAATTCTGTATTTTTAATAGAGAAGGGGATTTGCCGTGTTGACCAGGATGTTCTTGAACTCTTGACCTCAGGTGATCTGCACATCTCTGCCTCTCAAAGTGCTGGGAGTACAGATGTAAGCCACCATGCCCCACCCCACAGCTTGTTTCTAATGCATGGATAACTAACTTAATTTCTCTATATGACATTTATGTTTGTGTCCTTTTCACTTGTAAAATAATTTTGTTTTGTTCTTTAGGTTCATGGGTGTGTGTGTTCATCAAGGACAACTGCATGCACTTACAGAGGTAAGATGTCAGTAAGTGTTGAAGTAACTTATTTGCCTTAGTTTCAGCATTTATAATTTCATAGTAAGTGTTGTTTGCATATGTAAACAAAATGCTCGTGCATTTATATTTATGCAAAAATGGCAATGTTAATAATGCTTTCTTCTGTTGCCTTGGAACAATGGCAGGATTTCTTAATATTCTTGTATTGCCTCATAATACTTGGTGAATATTCTGAGCATATATATTATTAAAGTATTAAATTGGCTCTTACTGCCTAGATATGATTCCCTCTAAAACCAAGGCAACACTTGACTACAAACTCTCTATGGCAACAAATTACCAGACCACCTGGTAATGTTTGGTGTTCTGATCCAGGATTCCACAGTCCTTGCTGTGGTTTTCCTCTTTGGTCTTATTATTTGTTGGAATCAGTTTACATCTTCATTCCCATTTAATTTCCAGCCTGCGCTAGGCAGATAAATATGTGGTAGTCATTATTCATCCTTTGAGGATCAGAGAAACTCTCTTGAGAGCAACTTCAGGTGCCAAGTTGTCAGCTTCAGACCTTGCTTGGGTGCTCCTTGGAAGCACAGATTACTGGAATTTTCTAAGTTTAATAGGTTCATATAGGGCCTATTATATCTGTATTTTTAAAAGCTCCCCAGATTATTTCATGAGCATCTAAGATTGGAGACTATGTTCTAGTTTCTTTTCACATTCCTCCTTGAGAAGCAATTACCAAAGTACAAAGTGAAGAAACTTAGGAAGGAAGATTGTTTAACAGAATTTGCAAGAATGTTGGTTTTCTACTGGCTTGGTGTCTATTAGTCCTTTATATCTTATGGAAGATGGTCCCATGTGCCTCACTCTGTCTCTTTTCTCAGTTACTGAAGGCACTAGAATGTGGGATGTGTGCAGCTATGCCCTGCCTCTTAAATGGAAAGCCAAAGAAGGCAGAATTGTGAAGAGGTTAAGAGTATGGCCTCTGAAGTCTTGATTGCAAAGGTCTGAATCTCTCTGCATCTCTCAGTTTCCATCTGTATAATGGGAATAATAGTAATAATTAATAATACCCTGTCTCTACTAAAAATACAAAAATTAGCCAGGCATGGTGGTACATGCCTGTAATCCCAGCTACTCAGGAGGCTGAGGCAGGAGAATTGCTTGAACCTTGGAGGTGGAGATTGTTGCAGTGAGCCGAGATTGTTGCAGTGAGCCAAGATTGTGCCACTGCACTCCAGCCTGGGTGACAAAGCAAGACTCCATCTCAAAATAATAATGATAATAATAATAATAATAATACCTGTCCCAGGGAGTATAGATAGAGAAGATGACCAAGAGCTGAGCCCTAGAGTATTTAAATTTTTAATGTCTAGGGAAGGCAGGGTGCTATGGCTTACACCTGTAATTCCAGTGCTTTGGGAGGTTGAGGTGAGAGGGTTGCCTGAGACTAGGATTTTGAGACCAGCCTAGGCAACTTAGTGAGACTGTCTCTACAAAAAATTAAAATAAAAATAATCTGGGTGTGATGGAATGCACCTATAGTTGTAGTTATTGAGGAGGCTAAGGCAAGAGGATCACTCAAGCCCAGGAGTTTGAGGCTACAGAGAGCCGTGATTATGTCACTGCACTCTAGCCTGGGCAACAGAGTGAGACCCTGTCTCCAAATAGATAGATAGATGGATGGATGAAAGAAAGTCTGGGGAGAAGGGCAGACTGAGAAGGAGCAGTTAGTGAGGTAGAAAGAAAACCAGGAGAGCACATTGGCCTGGAATGGAAAGGAAGGAGTTCAAGGAAGGAGTATTAATTGTGGCAAATGCTGTTGATATCATGCTGACCTCACAAGGATGTTGTGAAGATGAAATATAAAATATGGCTGGGTGCGGTGGCTCACGTCTATAATTCTAGCACTCTGGGGGCTGCGGTGGGTGTATCACCTGAGGTCAGGAGTTCAAGACCAGCCTGGCCATCATGGTGAAACCTCATCTTTAAAAAAAAATATATATATATATATATTTAGTATAATGCCTGGCATATAGAAATTATTCAATACATGTTAACTCTTTGAACTTGTATTAACAATGACTAGTCCCTCATCTGATCTCTGAGTTGTTAATATTTTTCATTTTGTACTTAGTCCTATACTTCTCTTAGTGTCATTAGACTTTTTCCTGGTAAAGCAGCAGTAAAAATAATTTAAAAAAAAAATTAGACCTTTTACTGAAGTATAACATATGAGAAAAAATGTACATATGAAATATACATATCAAAATATACAGCTCACTAAATTTTTACAAATGAACACACCCATAACCAGCACTCCAGATCAAGAAACATTTCCCATGTATTTCTATTCTTGGAATTGAGTCTATAAATTCTTCAAAGATAAAGTTCTCCCCTTCCTTCTACCCACCAGAGTTCTGACGCTAATAAGCATAGAAATATTTGTTGCATTCCCTGCGTATGTGATTGTTCTCTGAAATGTAAATTCATTGAAAGGGCTGGTGTGTTAGTTTTGCTGATAAAGAAGAACATCCTTTAAAATCTTAACACAGGTTAAGTTACATATTTTAAAGCAGGATATGGTGGCAATGACAGTAATAAGTGATCATAATGGAATATTCTCTTGGCCATGTTGTACTTAATCTGCTGCTTATTAGCTTGTTTTTAGCCATTTACAACATACAGTGTGTGCTTTATGAAAGAGTATTTATTGCCAGTCTTTCCAGTACCATTAATTAGATTTTGACATAGCTTATGATATTAGTAATTTTTAATGTGATATTAATAGACTGATAGTGATAAAGCCCAAATAGCCAAATGCTTTTGGTTATTTTTAGAAGGGGATCAGCAAAGGCCTTGATGGCATAGGTCTTTGGAGACTTCTAGGTTTAATTACCTTATAATTTACCTTGGAAGCACAACTATTGGTTCCACTAAGGATCATAAAAAATAAATTATTAATATCTAGCACAGCCCTTGAAACTTAGATGACAGTCCGTAAATACTTGTCAGATGGTGGAATTTTTGTCTTCCAAAGTGATATGAGTACCATTCATCATTTCTCTTTATATTTATTTGTCAATCATTACAGTAGGCAAGCATAGCACTCATTATTAGGAAGAATATTTCTCATATACATTAGTGATCTGCACTTTTCTGGACTTGAACCATTTCCATGAGTCTTCCTTGTAATTATAGACATTAATTGAACTTGGAATAGTCAGACACTTACGTTTTTATTTTGTTTTTGTTTTTAAACTACCTGTAGTTAGGATAGAGTCAAGTTTTTTTTGTTTTTTTTTTTTTTTTTTCTTTTTGAGACAGAGTTTCGCTCTTATTGCCCAGGCTGGAGTGCAGTGCCCCTATCTCGGCTCACCACAACCTTCGCCTCCTGGGTTCAAGCGATTCTCCTGCCTCAGCCTCCTGAGTAGCTGGGATTACAGGCATGCATCACCATGCCTGGCTAATTTTGTATTTTTAGTAGAGATAGGGTTTCGCCATGTTAGTCAGGCTGATTTCCAACTCCTGAGTTCAGGTGATCCACCTGCCTCAGCCTCCCAAAGTGCTGGAATTACAGGTATAAGCCACCTTGCCCAGCCAGCTGACTCACGTTTTTAAGCAAACTAGTATTTGTTAGAGTGAAAGCATAGGCCAGCATGGTGGTTCACTCCTGTAATCCCAACACTTCAAGAGGCCAAGGTGGGCAGATCACTAGAGCTCAGGAATTTGAGACCAGCTTGGGCAACATGGCAAAAGACTGTCTCTACAAAAAATGCAAAAATTAGTCAGGTGTAATGGCATGCACCTGTAGTCCCAGCTACTGGAGAGGCTGAGGTAGGAGGATCACCTGAGCCCAGGAGGTTGAGGCTACAGTAAGCCATAATTGCACCACTGTATTCTAGCCTTAGTGACAGAACAAGACCCTGTCTCAAAAAATATATAGTGAAGCCGGGCGCGGTGGCTCAAGCCTGTAATCCCAGCACTTTGGGAGGCCGAGGCGGGTGGATCACGAGGTCAAGAGATTGAGACCATCCTGGTCAACATGGTGAAACCCCGTCTCTACTAAAAATACAAAAAAATTAGCTGGGCATGTTGGCGTGTGCTTGTAATCCCAACTACTCAGGAGGCTAGGCAGGAGAATTGCCTGAACCCAGGAGGTGGAGGTTGCAGTGAGCCAAGATCGCACCATTGCACTCCAGCCTGGGTAACAAGAGTGAAACTCTGTCTCAAAAAAAAAAAAAAAAAAAAAAAAAAAAAAAAATATATATATATATATAGTGAAAACAGTTTGGTGAAAGGTTACATGAAACCTTTTAAATTTAATTAGTTGAAATAAGAATCTGTACTGAGGCTGAATGCAGTGGCTCATACCTATAATACCAACACTTTGGGGAGGTCAAGGCAGAAGGATTGCTTGAGGTCATGATTTTGAAACCAGCCTTGGCAATATATTAAGACCCTGACTCTACAAAAAAATTTAAAAATTAGCCAGATGTGTTGACACACACCTATAGTCTCAGCTACTTGGGAGGCTAAGACAGGATGATTGCTTGAGCCCAGGAAGTTGAAGGTTGAGGCTGCAATTAGGCATTATTATACCCCTGCACTCCAGCCTGGGCAACAAAGAGAGACCTCTTAAAAAAAAAAAAAAACGGCAATATCATACTGACTGGGCAAAAACTAGAAGTATTCCCTTTGAAATCTGGCACTAGACAAGGATGCCCTCTCTCACCACTCCTATTCAATATAGTACTGGAAGTTCTAGCCAGAGCAATCAGGCAAGAAAAATAAATAAAGGGTATTCAAATAGGAAAGGAGGAAGCCAAATTGTCTCTATTTGCAGACAACATGATAGTCTATCTAGAAGACCCCATCGTCTCAGCCCAAAAACTCCTGAAACTGATAAGCAACTTCAGCAAAGTCTCAGGATATAAAATGAATGTGCAAAAATCACAAGCATTCATCTACACCAATAACAGACTTAAAGAGAGCCAAATCAAGAACGAACTGCCATT